AGTAGGGTAGAGAGTGTCTTCTGGGCATGTGAGCCTTACCAAACTATTTCCAGTGGCTTCCCCAGTGCTTTTGCTTAGAGATTGCAGTTAAAGCATGTGAACTGTGAGGTGTCAGGGAAAGGCTGATCCTTCTTTGTACAGCCACTGACAAAAACCTCAAGACTCCCTTTCTTCCCTTTCCTCTCTTTCAAAGTGAGCCTACCTTTCCTGGAGTTCTCTGTCTTCTGTCTCCCAGTATCCTTTAATTTGTGCCCTTCAGAATCACTTTGCTTTTGACACCAGTGGAGACAGGATCTGCTGGGTCTCCCTGAAGCTACTCTATGCTTATACTTATACTATATAGTATAAGCATATTATATGAGTATATAGTCTACACTCTTTGCTTCTCTAAATATAGCTCATCCTTTCCCTGAGAATTAAGCACAATGAATATTATTCCCACTGCACAGGATAGAAAACCAAGGGACCATGAACTTGAGTTTGAGATAGAAACTTTTTTTTTTTTTTTTCATCCAACAAGATGGATGCTCACTGGGCTTTGGATATAGCTCAATTGATAGAATGCTTGCCTAGTATGCACGAAGCCCTGAGTTTGGTCTCTGACACTGCATAAACTAAGCATGGTAGTGGCTCACACATGCAGTCCCAGAACAGGAGGGGGATCAGAAGTTTAAGGTCATTCTTGGCCATATAGGGCATTTAAGTCTAGCCTGAGCTGGAGATCTGGTCTCCAAAGAAGAAAGAGAAAGAGAGTGAGTGAAAAAAAAAGAGATTCTTATTGAAAAATGCAACCACCAGGATCCGGAGATATGGCTTAATGGTTAAAGGTGCTTGCTGCTTAAGCACAAGGACCCGAGTTCATATCCCTTACACCCATGTAAAAAGTCAGGTATGGTTGCACACATGCCAGTAGCCCCAGATGTAAAGGGTGAAAAGGGAGGATTGCTATGGCTTGCTGGCCACCAGACTAGCTCCATGGGGAGTGATAGAACAGAACACCCAATGTCTGCCCCTGGCCATATGAATGTGCGCATGTGTGCAAATACATACCATACATACACAATGAGAGAGAGAGAGAGAGACAGAGACAGAGACAGAGACAGAGAGGGAGAGGGGAAAGAAGAAAAAAAGAGAAAATTTGCACTCCATCTCTTGATAGTACTTTAATCCTTGAGTGAGTGCTTCCTAATCAGTGAGATACAGTAAAAGATAGCATTGCCACAAAGGGTTTAAGAAGCAGAATAAAGGAGCTTGGTTGTTGTGTCACACACTTGCTTGTGCCTGGAGTTGAAGGTGGTGCTGTGTCGCTGTGAGTGTGAGTGTCATGATGGTTTGGAATTGGAACCATCCCTGATGAATCTGAGATGATTCTCCAGTCAGTGTGTTAATTCCCCGACACCTCACTCCAGGAAGCAGTAAAAAAGGCAGCCAAGGACACTTCTCTTCCCTGAGAGGCAGTGTGATCCAAAATCTGAGCTGATGAGCATCTGTTCCCCTGCCTGGTCTCTGGAAAGGTTTGAGGGAAATGAGAAGTTGCCTGCAGGAAGTGCCTTTAACCCTTCCCTGAAGAAGCACTGCATTTTATTCTTAGAGAACCACAGGTTTTAGAAAGCTTTCAAACAATCTCCTATTTCTAAATTATCAAGAGCAAAAGAAGTTTCTTATCTTCAGAGTAGAGTTTCAATATAGAGCTGGCAGAGGAAAGCAGGCCATTCTTTTTCATTTTTGAAATGAATTGCTTGGCAAGCCAACACATGTCTTGTTATGTCCCAGAAAAGTTGGGGGCCTTCCCAAATAAATTATCTACTGTGTATGAGATAAGAAGACAGCTTTCCCTTGTCCAGCCTTTCAAAAATTTGTTACCACAATGTTCACAATATACAATTCAAATCCTCAATGATCTGAAATGTATTACCAAGAGACATTATGCTGAAAAGTCAGTGAGTGAGTGACCTTTTTCTTTTCATAATAGCCCAAATGGAATAAAAGGCACATGTGAAATCAGCCTGCAAGAAGAGATAATCGGTAGGAGCATATGTTCAGTGTTAGAAATTAGATATCCTTTGCAAAGCATAGCAGGTGTGTGTCATCCTAAGGAATGACAGCTCAGTGCAGCCTGTGTTGAAATAGCACCTCCTCTGCCCTTGAGTGTGGCCACAGAACATGTGGTTTGTGTGAAATGGAGCAAGAAGGGGGGCCATCCGGAACCACTATTGCATTTGGTACTCTGTATCAATGTATCATGAGTGTTCATCATCAGAAACACATCTGGGCTTCAGCATTTTAAAGTAAACTTTACACTCTCAAGTTTATCACATCTTAAGACTATGACCTTGTGGGTCTGTTTCCATGCAGAATGTAGCTGATGGCACAAATTTCCCATAACCAATAAAGAACTCTGTGTGTATTTATTTACAATGCATATAATGTGAACACTGGGGGCTTAAAATAAACAAAATGTGGTCCCCATTGAGGAATGACTGCTCCTTGAAGGAGGCAGGCCATAATGGAGTGGTTAGGGCAAACCAACTGCAAAGAACTCTGACAGCAAAATTGATCATTTCACTGCCCTACTTAAAACTCTTTTATGGTCCAAAGCCCTCACTTGGACCACATGACTGTGGTAATCCTGCCTGTGCAGTCTTTTTTAACCTCACTTTCCATTCATTCTCCCTTGGCACTGACTTCCCAATGAAATTTGCATAGCATCCCAGTGGGATCAGAGGATGGAGTGTGCCAGCTCTTACTATAGTAGGCCTCAGGTAACTGGCTTACCTGGAGTTCGGTGGGAAGGCCCACAGACTGCCATAGCACCTGGCATGCAGCAGCCACTTCTACTGAAGGTTGATAGACCCATCTGACATATCTTCTTAGAAATGAGATTGGGCTTTGTGTTTGATGTTTGGGTTAGGTAGTGAGTTTGGATCACAGAATGAATGAGGAAAAGTTGTAAAGAATGATAGCTCTTTCAGAGGATGGATACAGCCAGTAATCAGGGGTAGCTGAGTGACACATCTCTTGTGTAGAAGGATAGAATTTGTTCCTGAGGTGATCTTATGTGACCTTTATAAAAATATAATAAGGGAATTAAGTCACTTGAGATGTTTGTAAAACATCAAGAATATGTTCAGGAACAGTTAAGAAGGTAGAAATGGGGGCTGGAGCTCAGTGGTTGAGAGTTCTGGTTGCTTTTGCTGAGGACCCAAGTTAGATTCCCAGTGCCCACATGGCAGCTAGCAACCATCCATAACTCCAGTTCCAGGGAATCTGATGCTCTCTTCTGACCTCCTCTAGCATTGTACGACACAGGTTCACTTACATATATGCAGGCAATACACTCATACACATAAAATAAAAATAATAATATATTTTTAATAAGAAAGTAGAAATGAGCCTTGCCCTAATGAAGCCTGCAGTCTTCCATAACAATGGAAACTTTGCTCCATTTCTCCTTCTCATCCTACTAGTCTAAGCCATCCCACCTGGACCACAAAGTACACTCACAGTGGTCAACCTGCTTACCTACATGGCTTTATCCCCTCTCTACATGGTAGCCAGAAGTTTTTTGAAACTTTAAATCAGATCTTGTTTCAATCTTGTATGAGTCCTTTCATGACTTTCACATTATAATTAGGATAACAAAAAGAAAATTCTACTTCTGTCCCATGATCTCCAAGGTCAAGTTTGATCAGGCTCTAGTTTCAGCCTTGATTTTTATTAACCACTGTGCTCCACAGTGTCCCCAGCAGCTGCAGCCACAAGGGCAGCCCCAGGTCCCCATGCCCTAGGCCCCTCCTCACAAAGATGTTGCTGCTTCTCTTCCTTCAACTCTGTAAAAGTGGGTCCTACCACGCCCACTGCACTACTCTGCCGCAGTCTTCCTGGCAGTTAACACGATCTGTAATTATCTTTAAATCTGCTGCCGGAGAAAAATTGTCTGAAATTAAGACTTTCTTGTGCAATTAGAGCTGAGAGAAGGGGATTGGATTCTGAAGTTTGCAATGTAGGTGTCTTTTCTTCTGCTCCCAAACAAATACTTAATTAAATTGCTAAGGTATGATTACCCAATCACTTGTAAGCCATGAATGCATTCATTTCCTCACCAATTTTGTTGATCGGAATCAATGCCTCTACAAAACAGATTGTACTCCATTGTGAAGCAAATGCTTTCAGAATGAGGGTATATTAACCAAAGCACAGGGGTAGCTATCAAGACGGCTTGCCAAATCTCAAAATGTTGTTATTTAAGACAGGCCTCTCTTTGCAGAAGTGCTAAGATAAAGACCAAGTATGAATAATTATAAAATATCAAATGCTGGAAGAGGAAAACATTTTTAGCATCTGAAGAGAACAGTTCTAGTTTAGGAACAGTCAACACTAAGAGGCTGAGAGCATAGGAGAAAAGAAGGTCTTGGGAGTCCTGGAGATACATGCATGGGGCAGATGCTATGGGGAGAAAAGGACACAAGACTTGGGTGGGGGAGAGGGAGGGAGGGAGGGAGGGAGAGAGAGAGAGAGAGAGAGGGAGAGAGAGGGAGAGAGAGAAAGCAGCACTAGGTGTCTGGAAGGTCTAATCAAGGACTAGCCAATGGTGGTGCCCTTCCTCAGCTAAGTAGTGGAGGTGGGACAGTATCCTGTCCCTGTCTACACTGTTGTGTGATTACAACTGGCAGGGCAAGAGGACGCAGGCCATCACATTCCATTAGACAGCCCATCCTTGCCTAGAAAATTAGGATTCCTTCCCATTACTCCAATGGCATCAGTTTCCTCTTCTAAATCTCTTAACAATAACTTACTGAAGTTGTACTCCTGACCCTCAGAGATAGTTTTGTGTTTTTGCCTAGGCGGGTAGAGTGTGTTTTTCTCTTCAGGGGGACTCAGTGCCCAGCCTTTCAGAAACCAAAGAACCAACCTAGATCATCCTTGTAAAGTCTAAAATCGAAAGCAAAAGACTGGTGTCCTCTCTACGATGGGCTGCTGACTCTGTTGCTTGCCTGCAGTCTGTCATGAGTCCTGTGCTGGCTGCTGGGGGCCCACACAGAAGCACTGCATGGCCTGCAGAGACCCGCTGCAAGTGCTGAGAGACGGCAGTTGTGAGAACACCTGTGGCGACGGCTTCTACAACAGGCAGGGGACCTGCATCCGTAAGTGCCAGGCTGCCATGAAAGAGCAGCTTTTTCCTTCGTCTTTCAGCAACCCTTGTATTCAAATCATAGCACTGATAACCAGTTTGTCATTTCCTCTGAATATGTGCCTGACTGCTGACCTTGGCCCTCCCTTTGCCATTTATGTAATGTTTTTGCCAGTAGGATCTCCTTTAACTGCCCTGATGGTGTGTTGGGTTTCAGGTATTCTTTCTTGCCTGGTCCAGCAGATGAAGACAGCAGGTCCCAGCTGCCTGCTCAAAATATACAGTGGGGCGCACTCAAGACTTTTCCCCAAATCCCAAACACCATTAATGCCAGATCGCTTTCTTTATATAAGTGGAGCAGAGACTCATGCCGGCCCAGGGCAGACCCACCTTTGGGTTGGTGCCACTGACTCAGAACTAAAGCAGCCATTGTCCACCCTACCTTTACTGTCATGCTGTGACATTAGCAGTTAACCCAGAATATGTCTCTTTGTGCTGGTGTGCTGACCCACTCCCAAGAGGTGTGGAAATGTGGCAAAAACACCAATTGGTGTTACTTAATCTTTCTGCCTATGAGTTTCCTACTTGTAAAATGGAGGCAAAAATAACTACCAGAGTGGACAGAATAATGACCCTAAAAACATGCATGTGTGAATCCCCAGAAGCTGTGAGCACGCCACCTCAGCGAGTAACCTGGACTTTGCAGAGATGAGTAGATTAAACATCTGGGCATCAGGACAGTGTCCTGGAGCCTGGGGGCATACCCAGGTGATCATGAGGGTGGCAGTAGGGCGGAGTTGGAAAAGATATGAAGATGGGGGCAGAGGTCGGGTATGCAAAGAAGAAACCAGGAGCATGAGCATGCCAAACAGGAAAAGCCAAGAGAATTCTCTGGACTTTCTAGAAGGGATGCAGTCCCACTAACATCTTCATGTTTAGCACTTCTCACCTCTAAAACTCTAAGATAATAAATCTTGTTTCAAGTCAAAGGCTATATATTTTGTTATAGCAGCAACAGGAAACTAATACATTCCCAACTCAGAAGGCTCTGGAAAGGACTCAGTTAAGCACTTAGAACACTGCAGGGCACAGAATGCGTGCAGTCAGTGCTCAGTGTTTAGTTTTCACAATAACTTCATGAGGTAGATGCTCTCATTTTTACATTCCAAATAAGGAAGCTGAGAGGGTCTTGGGTCTCAGAGCTAATGAGGGCTAGAGTGGGATCAGGCTTAGCTCCTCAGGCTCTGGACTATACCTGGCCTGGATCCCACTCTGCTGCTCATTGTGATATGTGCTACCTTGGACATCTCTGCCTACTTTCCCCTCTTCCCCTTCTCTCTGATCTTCCTTGCATTTCCTCTCTCTTCTTCCTTGTCTTGGGATGAACTGGTCAACCCCAGAGACATTGCTAAGTAACAGTGTCCTGAGAGTAAGTAAAAGGTTTGGGCTGAGTTAATCCTGATGGTTTTGTCTATTGAAAAACTGTGAGAACTTTCTTTCACAACTGAGTCTTGCAAATCGCAAGAATGTGCAACCTCTAAAACTTTTTGAGTTGTCTTCAGTAAACAAGTGCAAAAATGAGATGCTTTGGGGATTTGGTGACTCCACTTTTCTAGGGAAGAGAGATGGCCCCAGCAGCCATTTGCGTTGAAGCTGTGGGGCATCCACAGCTCTCCAGGGGTGAAAGCTCTCTGCTGGTGTGACTGGATCTGGCTTTGTGGGAGGACAAGGAGAGACCAACCTGCCATTAGACTCAGCATGTTAATCTTTTTCTGCCAGCATCACTTTCTTGCTCAATTAAGCCAGATGTATTCTCTAAAGGTTGACAGATGTCAAATTTGCACTAATCCGAAGGCCTAAAGGCCTTTACCCTTTAAGTCCCAAGGGAGGCTGGTTTTTGTCATTGACTGGAGCCGTGTCACCTCCTGATATTGAAAATTTCTGGAATCTGGTCATCTTTTGCTGGTTACATAATGTCTTTAAAAGGGGGGGGGATGCTCAGGGTATGAGGGGTGGGAACCCAGTTGAGCTCTGAGGTCCAATGAAGGAAGCCACTGCTCCTCACAGACCGGAAGAATTAAAAAACTTGATACCAACATGAAAACATACAGGAGTGACACAGGGATTGCCACAAGTTCAGAGGCAGCCTGATTCACAGAGTGAGCTCTAGGTCAGCCTGCCTGGGCCATAGTTTGAGAGTCCATCTCAGAAGCCAAAAATAAAATAAATTTAAAAGACAACTGAGCAGGTAGAGGAGGGGATACCAAGGAAGCAGGGAGGAAGGAATATTATGTTTGCATGCATTTTGAAGACTGTTAGAAACTTTCCAGGCAGAAGACAGTCCAGAGCTGTCCATTAGCCATAAGCTGACCCAGCAATGATCAATAAGTAGTTACTGCCCACACTACATGCTCTGCAGTGGGTGAGGAGTACTGTTGGAACTGATCTCTGAGCCCTTGAGTAAAGAAAACTGGAGTTTGTGCTTTTCTCAACAGCATTAGAGAAATGGTCCTGTGCTTTCTAAGACAACAGAGAACCAAGCCACTGATTGGTATTCGAATGTTAATTAAGATGCTGATAATGGTGACTTATTTCCAATTCAGATTAGTGCTGTTCAAGATAAAGACAGGCTGGTGTTGGTTTAATAATTGATAACTCTCTAGTCTGTGTTTGTAGATATCACAAAGTCAAGTGCTGTGGAGAATCTAGCATAGCCTGCTAGAAAAGGTGGCATGTTCTACGTGAAGGAACTTACACAGCTGTGCTCATCTGAGGCCCGTGTCTTGGGCTTTACAAATATTGGCTATTAAGGTGGGGCAGCTTCTAGGAGAGAGAGCACCTCGGTCTTTCAAGTCCTTGGGCTGTTAGGAAAGGCTGGTATGACCTCAGCTAATAAATCAAGTTCATAAATCAAGTCTCTCTCTCTTTTTCTTTCTTTCTTTCTTTCTTTCTTTCTTTCTTTCTTTCTTTTCTTTCTCTCTCTTGCTCTCTCCATATATATGTATATATGAGCTTATCTAAAATTATGAGCTTATCTAAAATTGTATTTTTGTTCTGAACGCATTTGAATATATATTTTTTTTAACATAATAGCATGTTGTCGACTTAAATACCGTTCCTGGATTTTCTCACTCAGCTCTATCTTTTTAAAGATTTCCTGGCCTTCATTTCTCACGGCTACATGGTACTCCCCATGTGTACCTACCCTTCACTCATCCAGACTTCTAGCACTTGATCCCTTCCACTCTCTCTGTCCTCTGTCCTCACGCTGTCACCAGAGAGCACTCATGAACAGGCACAATCCAGACCCATATGGGCTTATCTGGGAAGTTTCTGGAGACTCCCAGCATGGGCAGAATTGTTGGCTTCTTGGCTCTGTACAGTCCTTCTTTGATAAACTAATGTTGGGCTGTGATCCAGAATAGCTGTGCAATCTTCATTCCCAGGGATGCAGGCTTTTTCATCTCTGTATCCTGTCCATCACTTGACATCATTAAACTCCTGAGTTTTCTTGGTCACAAGATATAAAGGGACATTTCATTGGATTTGCTACTTCTGATTTCTAATGTAAGCATATCTTTACTGTTGGGCCTTGAGCTTCCTTTGTATAAATTTGTTTTTAGATTTTCTTTTGGTCCGTGTTCTATGGGCTTTGCTGTCTTTTATGGAGTTCCTTGTCTATTATAGATACTAACTCTTTTCATTGCTTTGGTTTTTGGTGCTGAGGACTGAACACAGGGTTTGAGCATGAGAGGCCAACACTCTACCACGGAGTTATTTCCCAGTTACTTGTTGTTTCAAATAGACAGATATTTCTCATTCTCTTATATTTAAATGTTGAATATGATGTCCTTTGTTAATCAGAATTTAAAATTTTTTCCTATTGATTAAATTTGTTCTTTGACAATTTTGTATGTGTACATAGTTGCTATTGAATCTTTGAGAAGAGCCACTGCTAATATGCACAGTCAATTGTTCTGCATTTTTTCCTATCAATTTAGCAATTGAAACTTAGGACGCTGATCCGTCTGGAGCTCACTTTCATACATGGTTTGTGAAAGTGCGCAGTTTGACTTTTTGCCATTTTGCTCTCCAGTGTTCCCAGCGTGACTAGAAATTCAATCTCACCATCTCTATGGACCTCGATTGTATGTTGTATCCATTTGTGTGTAGGTCTGCATGACATTTGTTCTCATATCACAATCACATGTTTTGTTCATTAATTTCCATTGCCTTGAATCACATCTCAAAATCTGACAGGATTCCTCCACAACTTTGTTTCAACCCTTAATCATCTTGTCTCAAGAGCATGACAGTTACTTTCCAAGTGGATCCCCAACTTTCCCTCATCCCTCCAAACTGCTTTTCATACTGAAGCCAGAATGATCTTTCTTATCCCCAAGTGTGGCCATGTTTCTTCTGCATTTTAAAATCATAGGGCTCTTAGTGCCTTCCACAGAATGAGTCTAGACAATGCACAGTTGAATTTGAATTCCAGGCAAATTTTAAATAACTTTGCCTTCCACAGGATGAGAATCTAAACATGAGTGTGGCTACAAGTTTACATCATCTAAGGCCTTCCCACTCTTCTCACTTGGTGGAACTAATGCTTCCCCAACAGCCTAGACTTTTGCTCTTTCAGCCTGGGATGTTTCCTTCAGTCTGACCTGGTCTGACTAAATTTCAAAGAAAGATTCACAAATCCTTTCTTGACTTTTTCTACCTCTACCCTATACACCTGTTAAAGGGAATTATTGTGCCTGAACAGGCTGATTGAATGATATTTTAATATCTACTTATTTTTCTTCTATTAGATTAATAAGCCATTTAAAATAGAACCCAAGTTAATTTGGTTTTCTTATCTTTACAAGCTAGTATGATAGTGATATAAGCTTTTTAAGTTATTTATTAATTTTTAATACAGGACCTCACTCTGTAGCCCTGACTGACCTTAAACTTACAGAGATCTGCCTGCCTCACCTCTCCAATTCTGGGATTAAAAGCATGCACTACCATGCCGGGCCTGATATAGGCCTTAATTGGGGTTTTAAGGGTAAATGAAGAAGGACATGAGTAGATCTTGGGCAATTAAATAAAATTGAACAATTTTAGTATAATTTTGCCAGCACAATCTTGGTAGAACTCTGTATTTCTGAATCATCTCTTCAAGTAGAGTAAAATTAAGGATATTTGATGCATACTTAAAGCAAAAATTATTTTTTATTCACCATAAATTTAAATTTAGGCTGAAACTAGTACTTTTATTGATAGATCTGGCTTTGGAAGACCATTTCGATTTTAAATCCCATGTTGAATTGGCTACACGGGTGGGTGTGCCTCGGAGTCTTTTGAATATTCTTTCTACTTTCTCCTTCCAATGTGGAAAAGAAAGTAGAGCCCTTTGCAGTTTGGAATCAAGGATGCAGAATTCTGCTGAGGAGCCAGAGAATGAGACTGAAATATTGGTGCTGAATCAGGTCGTTGTAAAGAGGGAGGTTACTACTGAGCAGCTCACTCTCGCCTCCTCTGGTGGCTTTTCCTTCCTCTTAGCTTGTGACCAATCCTGTAAGAGTTGTGGCCCCAGTAGTCCCAGATGTCTTACCTGTACTGAGAAGACAGTGTTTCATGATGGGAAATGCCTTTCTGAATGCCCTGGTGGGTACTACGTGGATACCACTGGCAGATGCAGAGGTAAGAGATGACACATCATCGTCAGAAAGATTTTAGTATCTGATGGCACTTGGTTATCTGCTGCTTATTTGGAGTTGGTCTGTTTTAGGAACAGGCTACTTTAAAGGGATGGCTCTTTCATGATAGAACCTATGTGTGTTTGGTAGGGGAGAGGGAGGAGTAGACGTATGGGTGGCTTCTTGCGGAGGTGGGCTGACTACATGGAAACTTTATTCCCATCAGTCATCATTAGAGGATATTTGGTCGGTTTGAAATGTCAAGAGCATCTTTAACATGCAGCCCTTGTATTCCTGTAAACCTGTGCTAACCTGTGTCAGTGATGACAAAAATCATTCCTTCCCTGGCATTTATAAAATTATGTTGGCAACAATAATGCACAACAAAATAAAAGAAAAAAAAATCCAGTTTGATAGCCAGTAAAGCTGAAGTCTGTCTTCAGTAAAAATTTATTTTTATGTGCAATTTGTACATTGTTTCTTTCTGGCTGATAGAATCTAAACCTACGAATTTGTAACTCTTACTTACTTCCAGTTTATATAGGGTTGACTTAGGTCTTTCCTTATAGGGATCTAAGAATGTATTCTGCCTGGTACATCTTAGTTGCCTCTCCTCTCTGAAACACACACAGGTTCTCACTTCTGCCTTTTGGTTTTTTGGGGGTAGGATATTTGTACTCATTTACCTATTCCTCCTTATCATCACTCTTTGTCTGCCAACCTCTTTAGGGCCCCAAAGTTCCTACCTTTTCCTCAGTGTCCTACCTTCAAGCTTCTCATTCTATTTCCCCATCCTCCATGCCTGGCTCCTGGCAACCATCCTCCAGGACTTTCTTTTTGGGTCTCCCTCCTACCGCGAGAACTGGTAAAGGCTCAGTTCATGCTGTACCCTACCATCTCACTATCTGTCACTAGAGTCAGAGAGAAACAAAGTCAACTTGACACAGGGCAAAGCAGGGGGAGGTGTCCCTGACACTGTCATACATACTAGTCAGACTCTTTTCTGCAGTGATGCTTGTCTCAGAATCTTAGAATGTCAAAGTTAGAAGTATCTTCAGTCATGTCTAGTCCACCCTCTCACTGGAAGTGTCATGGAGAGAATCAGACTTGGCTAATGGAAAGTCAATTGGAATTTCGGTGTTTCTCAGTCTCCTTGGCTACATTTTTTTTAACCCCTCAAGACCTCAGTTTCCCCAGCTGCAAAAATAGAATTAATACTACCTCCTGGTGTTGCTATGAGGACTAAAACTGACAATTTGTACAGCACTGAATGCTAGCACTAAATAGAGGTAGCTAGTGAATGGTGGGTAAAGCACATCTAAAAGGTGGGTGAGGGATTCCATGGGTAGTTCTGGCAGCATACACTCGTGAGCTTGACTTCTTTGGAATACCGTGATGAGGGCTTCCCAGCACAGAAGAAGCCCAGGTGGGGAATGACTCTACGGTTACATGACCTGCTGTGTCCCCTTTCCTCTTTAGCTTGTCATGTATCCTGTGCCACCTGCTCTGGACCTGCAGCCTCTCACTGTACAGCCTGTATCCTTCCGCAGGCTCTCCGTCAAGGCCACTGTCTGCCCAGCTGTGGAGAGGGCTTCTACTCTGACCACGGGGTCTGCAAAGGTATGGTTGGTATCACTATTCTTCCCGGTGGTCCATCACAAAAATATAGATTGGCAGTTTTCCAAAAATATTGCTTTCCAGCACAACTTTTTCCCTCATCTATCTTAAATGGCTGTGAACACATTGCAGCCTGAGCCATCTTGAACTGTGTCTACTGGTTCTATTTCCATAGAACAACTACTGACCAAAAATATAAAAAAGAAATTCCAGAAAATTCCCAAAGCAAATTTGAACTTGCTCTATGAGTGCTGAATTCATGCAAATGATAAGATGTGTGGCCATTAAATTGTTTCCTGAATTTGGGGTTGATAAATTACACACGTGGTATAGGCTATATGCAAATGTTAGGCCAGTTAACAAAAGAGATGCTGTCACCTGTAGAGTTATCTGTCAGGATCCCAGAACAGGATTCCTAGAAGGACACCACAGGATACTGCATATGCAATTTTTTTCATTATAATAGTTTTAAGAAGGGATAACCTGGAAAAAAAATCAAATATGAAAATTTGCAAATCCTCTCAAATGATCATGATTTTTCTGGTCATTCTTTTGGGGAATGTTATTTTCTTTAACATAACATTGAATCAAAATAAATTTCTTATTTTCTCTGTTCTGAGCTCTCCTGGCATTGCTAACATTTTTATAGACTTCATTTGCTTTTCCCTGAAGAATGTCTTTTTGTTAATGATACTATGAGCAGACTGAGAGTCACTAGCAATGCCTCTGGGCTGAGTGAAATGGAAAATCTTAAATTGCTGTTTGCCAAAAAGACTTTCAGCTCCTTGAGAGGGCAGTAGCATTTGAGACTTTTGAAATTAGAACATTGGGGGCAAACACTTTAATTAAGTGAAATAAATTTATATTTGCCCATAGAGCACCTTAGAAAAGTATTTGAAAATAGCATAAGACAAAAACATTTTAAAAACAAAAAAGTGGCATTAAGTCTTTTGAAAGAGAGCGTCTAGAGAATCTTTTAAAGAACCAGTGTATTGATTGTACCAATTTTTGAGCATTGAAGAGGTTTGAATACAGTATTGGGCTTTGATTTTCAGCACTCACCAGGGAAAATAAAACCTTATTATAGCTTGTGAGGTTTTCATTGATGCTCAAAGGAGGCTCTTGCTTGCCTAGAAAGGCAGCCTTTCTCCAAATAAATCCTGAGAAAAATCTTTTGCCTGGACCTTTCCGTAGCGGGTGATGGATGAACATAATGGTCAGTCACACAAAGACTGGTTTTGTAGAGGAACGGCCTTCTTACCAGCGCTTCTAAAAATCTTCAATAAAACCAAGGGCATGATGTTAAGTGGTCGTTCAGAGAATGTGCTTCTTCGGAGAGCCAAGCAAATATTGTCCAGTTTGCTTGGTTTTGTTGTCATCCAGCCTGACAGCCTTTCCAGGACCTGAGGGATGAGACTCATTTCCCCACTCTCACTTTCCCTCTCAAAACATTTTCATTACCTTTGTACTTTGTGTAGAACACTAGAAAAATCCTCTCCTGAACTCTTCTGAACTCCTCTCTCTGAACTTTTCTAAGTGGTTTTGACTTCAGGAGAGACTCACATCTTTTGCAACATATATTTGATCTCTGGATTGCCCTCCATGTTGTTCCTATTTGCAGGCTGTCATGCCTCCTGCCAGACCTGTGTGGGTCCTGAGCCCTCTCACTGTACTTCCTGTAAGAAGCCAGAGGCAGGACTTGAAGTGGAGCAGCCCTCAGGGAGGGAGATCCCCTCTGGCGAGTGTGTGTCCCAGTGTAGAGCTCACTTTTACTTGGAGAGCACTGGACGGTGTGAAGGTGAGTAGACTGCTGGGTAGGTTCTGGGCTCACCTCTTAAAGCTCCTGTGAGGGGGGATTCCAGCCAGGGAGACCCTTGACTTCCCATGAAGGGGGTTCCAGGAGCTTGTGGTGAATCAGGAGACCACCATTCAGAAGGGCGGTCCCACTGATGCCCTCTGTCCCTGTGAGCTGTAGATGCTCTTCAGGAGCTAAGTGCTGTTCTCAGAAGGTCTGGATAGAAACTCCTTCAGGGACCTGTAAGGTAGCTAAGGAAGACTTTGAGCTCGTTGTTGAATTCCACTTATTTATTTATGTTTTTCTGATTTGCTCCTCTGAATAGAAATTGTTCCCTTCAGGGCAAAATCTGGACAGATGTCAGAATTTTGGAGTTCCTCCCTCTGTCACCCTGGTGTATTACCCATTCAGGGCTGACGGCATCCTAAATGACTCAGCTTGATAGCCAGGTCACCAGTGAGAGAGTCAGGAGATGAAGGCAAAGGCATGATTTTGAGGGCTTTGGGAACTTTTCTGATCCTGAAAGGAGCGGTCTTATTTATACGGGAATTGTTTGTTTTAGGCTACTAAAAATAATTATGTATTAGTATTGCCTTTTTCATTGTAATTATAATCATTACTGATTAGAAGAAATTTTAAACATAGGGAAAAGTAAAAAATAACCTACTCACCTCCTAAACTCCATGTCTTTGCCATTTTGCTATAATATGAGTCTTTCATTCCCATTCATACCTCTGAGGGATTATTTTTGTGGTGTAACCTCAAGCATGCTGCAGATTTAATCTGGTGCTACGTGTTTCTGCTTATTTAAAATGGCTTCAGTTTCAGGTCCATCCCACATGAAAATTCAGGATTTCAATGTTTTCAAAAGATTTTTAACACAATAAGTAATACAATGTAGTCAAAACATGTGGACTCAGAATCCAGACACCCAGACATTTGACCCTATTGAGTTCTGCATATACCACATTAGAATCATAATTTTCTTCCATGTGGGCCTTTTGCTGGGATCAAAGGGACTTGGAAATATAATGTGGCTAGAAAATTAAAAATCCCCATGCTTGATAGGCATAAATTCCAGTCCATATCCTCAAGTGTTCAGGACACTACAGGGTTGAGGCCCAGCTGCCTGGGAGATGCAGACTCCAAGGGTTTACATCAGACTCTAAAGCTTCATTATTCTTCAGATATCCTGGCTTCTGTGTGTATGTCTGTGTGTGTGTATGTGTGTATGTGTACATGTGTGTAGTGTACATGTATTGCCCAAATTCTATGGTCTCCAAAATCTTTGTAACTGTTTTCATAGTCACTTAGGAAATATGGGGATTGTTATACTATGAGTCCCAATGCCATCCTAGGAAACACAGTCCACGGCCTTCCCTCCATGTTCCTTCCTAGTGCTGTAATGGTGAGTGATTATAAAGGCCAATGATGCATCTACTTTCTTAGGAACCTGGGATTGAGGAAGGGGCCATTCCTCTCAAACTTATTTTTGAATCTCTTCAGTGGTTTCCGGTTTAACAGATATGCTTCCTCAAGCCACTTGTGCTTTCTAGTAAGCCCCCAACCCCCTGAGGAAAGTTGAGTACAATGGCTAGCCCTGCTTGCCATCGGGAAAATGCGGGGAGAAAACAGACGGGAACAAGGGAACAGCCTTCCTTCCTTCCTCCTCTTCTCCCTTGCCCCATCTTTACAACAGTAGTTTGTGATGTGTTGAAATCTGAAAAACTGTTTTGTGGGTTTACATAGCCGTGGACTCTGTGCTCTGAGATTTGAGTTGAAACCGTAAAGGTAACAGATCTCAGTGAACACTGGTCTTTTCAAATATTCAGAATGCTATATGAGACACTTGGCCTTATGCAGAATCATCCCAGTGGCCCAAGGACTCTGATTTTCCTCTTGAATATCATGATCCTAGGAGAAATCAGGACAGAGTTTTCCCAGACTATGCAACAGAGTTCACATCTTCTATAGTTTTGAGAACTATGTTGGGCCCAGGGGTTGAGGTGGAGAACAAACCAACCAGAGAGTTTGGAGAAACAAAAATGATTAACATTTTAAATAAATAAAAATTATATTTTGAGGTTATTTTGGTTAAGAAAATAATGTTACCACTCTGAGAAGTGCCTTACTTATTTTTCACTTTTTGCTAATACCAGCCTTTTATTGTAACACCTTTATCCTAACACTAGTGATGGGACAGCTATGAGCTAGAAGGCTTGTAGAAGTTCAGGTTGTGACTTGCCCAGAGTGTCAGAGCCACCGTGAAGTATGTGTAGACGGAACCAAAGTCAGCTGACTCCAGTGTCTGCACTTGTAACCTGCATGAGGTCTCAGAGCTACAACCTCCTGTAAGAGGTGTGCAGCTGCTAGACCCCTTCCCACACAGGGCAAGCAAAGCACAACATGCTTATGCAGCCCAGTTGGGGCTTCTTCAACTTGAGAAGCCATCCCTGGCAAACGGGAGTGTCCTGGGACCAGGTTATATAGATATCTTTTAGTAAAGCTTAGAGTCTAATCCCTCTGGAATGGCTTGATTGTGGCCAGATATGGAAGGACTAGCTTGACCTCCCGAGTCCTTATAGCCCCAAGATTGTATGCTCGTTAACATAATATTATTAGGTATCTCACACAGAGCTGTCTGCTCACATTATGAGCAAATCCCTGTGCAAGCTCCACCAGGTAGGCTGCTGTACTCAATTTGCACGTGATGAGAATGTGGCAGAAAGAGGTTAATTGAGTTGCCCAATATTCTGCTGGGAAGCGGAGTGTGACTACCCATTGTTCCCAGACTTAGCTGTATCAAGTGAGCTGATTGATGTGTTTCCTGTCAGTCACTCTGCAAACCTCCTCCTTCCCACAATCTGTTCCATTTTCCTTTCTGCTGAAGTGTTGTCCTTGAAATCAGGCCCAGGAGTCCTGTGAGACTTCAGGGGGTTCTTCTTCCCACAGCTTCCCAGAAATACCCTGGCGTCCCTGCAGAGTATTTAAAAAGGTTGGAGGTTGTGTGTGTGTGTGTGTGTGTGTGTGTGTGTGTGTGTGTGTGTGTATGCAGATGCTAAAGTATTTTTCTGTAAAGATAGAAACAACTGATTTCTGGAACCCTCTTCCTTTCTTGGAAAGCACAGCATCAAATGATTGGACTATTACTATAGCAAATGAAAGAGAGAGGCAGATGTATCACACTAAAAGGCTGCTGTGGTATCAAGGAGTTACAAAAGTTCATACTTTGAATTATATGGAAAACTTATCTAGTACAAAATGCAGCAACAATATTTGAGATCTTTGACTAAAATCCTAGTCTTGATTTTGATTGGAGGGCAATGTGTGTGTGTGCATGTGTGAGTACATACATGTATGTGTCTATGTATAAGTGATTAACAAATAGTAACCAGAGAATGCTGCGTCTTGGAAGCTATCTGTTCTTATTTATTCCTTACACAAATGTTGATTAAATCTCTTGGATGCCACATATTTCTATATAGAGATGTGCTAGTGATGAGCCAAGTAAAAATTGCAGTTCTTGTGGAATGCACAGTCCAGTGAGACAAACCTGGAATGAATGAATGAATGAATGAATGAATGAATGAATGAATGAATGCCACTGGCAGCAGACCCTGCAATACACTCTTGGATGGTGATTCATGCAATGAAGTTCACAGCAAGGCAGTGGTTGAGGAAAGAGGAATGGGATGAGGTGGCTGAACAACAGAATAGAGAGAGAGCGAGAGAGCGAGAGAGAGAGAGAGAGAGAGATCTGCATGTGTTTGACCTGTGTTTTTGGCTTATGCTTAATAGACAGATGGACTTTCATCCAAAGTTGTTCTCAGTTTGAATATTTGCTAGTACTAAAAAATTCAACTTTTGGGGCCTAGAGAGATGGCTCAGTGGTTAAGAACACTGACTGTTTTTACAGAAGGCCTGGGTTCGAATCCCAGTACCCACATATCAGCTAACAACTGTTTGTAACTCCAGTTCCAGGAGCCTCTGACAGCCTCTTCTGTCCTGTGCAGGCATTGCACAACACGGGTGCACTTACCTACCTGCAGGTACCTACTCATACACATAAAATAAAAATAATAAATGAAATATTTTTTAAAATTCAGCTTTCTTTAGAAAGGAGAGAAAAGAAGAGGGAGGGAGGGAGGGAAGGAAGGAAAGAAGGAAAGAAGGAAGGGACAAGGTTAGGGAAGGGAGGGAAAAAGAAACAGAGAAGAAACACCCATGCCCATCCTTCTTAATAAAAACTAAACAGATTGCAAATTGTTGGAAAACTCAAGCCCCCTAAAACAACATCACTAAGGCATCCCTTACTTTGACAACAGTCTTCGCCCACTGATTTTCCAGGCTTCTGTGAGTCAGTCTGAGTTGAGATGGGGGCTTTAAAGGAACCAGCTAAAGGATTAAGCAATGGTGGTTAATGGGTCCTGTGCTGGATAACTTTAGTGTCAACTTGACACACCTGAGTTGAGGGAGCCTCAATTGGGGAATTGCTTTCATTGGACTGGCCTGTAGCCTTGTCCATGGGCCACCTGCTTGATTGTTGAGTGATGTGGGAGATCCCAGCCCACTGTGGGTGGTGCCATCCCTGGGCAGGTGGACCTATGTTGTATAAGAAAGCAGGCTGAACAGGGGCCAGGAGAGCAAGCCAGTAAGCAGTGATCCTCTATGGCCTGCGCTCCAGCTCCTGACTCCAGGTTCCTGCCCTGAGCTCCTACCTTGGGCTCCCTGATGAACTGTGACCTGGGAGATGTAAAACAAATAAACCCTTTCCTCCCCAAGTTGGTAGTGGTCAGAATGTTTTGTCACAGCAATGGAGAAGAAAACTAAGACAGGTTCTAATAGATGCCTGGTTCTCAGAAGCAAGTCCCCCTCATCAAGCATAAAACCCATGTTCTTTGTGCTGTACTAGAGTCTAACATTTCAATTTCAGGCCAGACCATCCAATTAGTGATGCAGCTCAGTCTCTAGTAAACAATTTGGCAGTGGTGGCAAAGACTGGC